AAGGTAAGCACACCAAACTTTAATACAGACATATAAACCAGGTGGTGGTGGCGCACACCTTTAGTCCCAGTACTTGGGAGGCAGAGTTCAAGACCAGCCTAGTCTATAAGAGCTAGTTCCAGGACAGTCTCCTAAGCTACACAGAGAAAACCCTGTCTTGGAAAAAAACAGAAACAAAAAGCAGCATGTATTCGAAAACTCACATCTACATGATTCTTGACTGCTCAACACACTGCTTTGATTGAAACCATCTTAAATTCTAGCAAATTCTCATTTTCTCTTACATCAGTACCAGACAATCAAAAGTGTTTCAAGGTTTTTCTCTTTAGACTACATACGTATATAAAATAAAAGCACATGGGTCATCAGAGCCATACCCTCTTCCACACGTACAAAATCTTCCGTGTCTTCACTATCCAAGCACTCTACGAATCCAGCCATCAGCTTCTGGCTCACACTCTGAAGTCATACACAGAAAAATGACAAGTTAACAAACTTTACATATTAGACAACCAGCGATAAATGGCACATCCACAGCCATCCACCTGTGAAAACAAAGGCAAATCTGCCCCAGTGCTTAGATTTTATGCTTGCTTTGTTTTGAATTTTATGTGTGTGGGTATTTTGCCTGCATGTATGTCTGTGCACCAAGAACATGCCTGGTGTTCAAGGAAGCAAAGAGAGCCACCAGAGCCCCTGGAAATGGAGTTACAAACACCATGTGGATCCTGAGACTTAAACCCAGGTCTTCTGGAAGAGGAGTCAGTGCTCTTAACTACCACTACGTACGTATGTCTGCCTGTCTGTCTTCCACCCTCAGATTTTAGTTGTTTTAACTAAAAGAAAACTTAGCTATTTAGATTGCTACACATAAGCTCATTCTATGAATAATTAAACCAGGCACAGTGCCATGCAGTTGTAGTCCAAGGAATCAAGAAGCTGAGGTAGGATGATCTGAATTTGAAGTCAGCCTACTCTGAATAAAGAAAGCAGACCAAGTGTGGTGTACACCTTCAAGACTTGCCTGGTCCACATACTGAGTTCCAGGCCAACCAAGGTTACATAGTGAGTCCCTGCCTCAACAAATAAAAAGAAAAGGGAAGGAAAGAAATCTGTCAGAAAACAGTACGCTCTGATCAGTAATGGTAACTTATATTTAATTTAAAGCTCTTCATGGTGGCTCGCACCGGTAACCCAGCACTTGGGAGGAGAGGACAGAGAAGGACCACAGCTTCTCATCCGACGTGGACCACACATCCAGACTCATCCTCAAGAGATCTGCCTGCCTCTGCCTACCGAGGGCTGAGATTGAAGGTGTGCACCACACTTGATCTGCTTTCTTTATGCAGAGTAGGCTGACTTCAACAACAAACAAAATAAAGATCTATTTCATCCAAAGTGACAAAATGGCTCCTGCTTTAAAACCCTGCTGAGGAGGAAGCAGTAAAGGCCTCGATTTCAATCAAGTACAGCTGCCTACAGACACTGGATATTTACAGGAAAAACACAGAGCCAGGATGCAGCTGCAGCGACCCACCAAGGACAGTGAGGCAGCGAAGCCACCATGGGATGAGACAGGGATCTTGAGCCAGCCAAGGCCACATAACACCATTTGAAACGAGAAAAGGAGAAACAGAAACTATCAGGAACCAAAGAAAAGGGAGCATCTGAGTTGTTAGAGAACACAGACCCATAGTGTCAACTTTTCCACAAGGAGGATCATTGGAGCGACACAGGGATGGTCTCAGGAAGAAGAAATGCAGTCTATAGTAGCCAATATAACACAACTGTGGATCACCACAAAACAACAAAGGTAGTTAGCTAGCAAACAGTGTGGCTACAAGATCAATCATTCAAACGCTGAGAGTAATAGCCATTTTGTAGGCTCCATAGTCACCTACTAGAGTGTTAACAGAGCACACTGAAGAGGATGCTTTGTGACAAAATGCATTAACTTCAAAGACAAATCACAGTCAAGTGCATGGTTAGTTCATCATCTATCCCTTATAAATGTACTCACTCTTTTGAGGATCACTCCACAAACAAAAATACAATTCATCCAAACATATCATGACACTACAACGCATCAAAAACAGAATCAGTTACCTGGTCATGTGTGAAATCGCCAACCAGTTTGATCTGAATGTTGGAATTGCAAGAGATACAGCAGAGGATCTTAGCACTTTCAAATGCCAATTCAGGGTTACTGTTCCCATGATACAGATACCTTCAGAAGAAAACAAAGAGGAACAATGTAACCAAGCCTGGCTTCTCACTGTTCTCAATGCTTAGGAGCATTTGAGGAGGACCGGGTTGGGCTCTCGGCACTTCCATGTGCTTGCTCCAGCTCTAGAGGATCCACCCTCATCTCTGGCCTCCACAGTATACATATGCAGTGACGCCCATAGAGTCAAGCAGGCACACACAAACACAAATCAAGTCTGATACGGTGATTAACAAGGATTATGCTAGTTAGTTTTATGTCAGCCTGACACAAGCTAGAATCATTATGGAAGAGGAAATCTCAACTAACATGTCTCTACCAGACTGGGCCATGGGCCAGCCAGTGATTTTTCCTGATTGATGGTTTATGTGGAAGGGTCCAGCTCTATGGGCGGTACCACCCAAGGGTGCATGGTCCTGGATGCTGTAAGAAGCTGACCAAGCCATGAGGAGCAGGGCCAGCAAGCAGAATTCTTCCATGGCCTCTAATTAAAAGTTCTACCTCCAGATTTCTGCCTTGAGTTACTCCCTGACTTCCATCAGTGATGGGAGTGCAAGCAGAGAGCTATAAAATGAAAAACTCTTCCCAAATTGCTTTTGGTCACATTGTTTTATCACAGCAATGGGAAACTTAACTAAGACAAGGGTACAACAAGACTGTGTCCTCACAAAAGGGTATGTGGACAGAAGTACTTCCACAGATCACCGTATGAAGCAAAGGTGAAGGATTGATTCCACAAGCTATGCAACACCAAACCAACAGAATGTTAGGGATGACTATCCCCACCCCAACGCCCAAAACACTCCGTTTCCCTACAGAAAACAAACACTCATTTTGAAACTAAAACTTATAGGATATAGAATGACCTATGAAGAAAAAGAAGAAAAGACATGGTAAGGCTCAGAGTGATTAAAATCAAAGGGATGAAATTAGATAGGATTAAAACAGGCCAAAACCAATAATCTGTGATGTTTTAATATGCAACAAGAGAGAGAGAATCAAAGCTAGAATATCCCTGTCATTCTCTTGCTCTACTGACAAATGGAAATTACCTGGCAATGTTAACCACATTGTCTGCCTTCTTAGTTCTGGGATTAATTCCCTGCAAGAGCTGTTCCAAAGGTGAGACAATGAGAGGCAGCTGACTCTCTCTCAGAAGGTCCATGAAAAGGGTCTCCTTTTGCAGAGTAAGATTGAGAAGTGCTAGGCAATGCTGAACTGCTTTTTCCAGGTGTTTCTTTCCTGTGAACCCAAATGAAGTTAGAACTTAAATGAATCTTGGAAACATAGTGCTGCAGAAAAAACAAACTAAAAGGCAAGTTTTAATATCAAAAAGCCCTTGTTTTTACAAACTTTTCAACAGCACCTTCACAGTAGCTTTCACCTACATAGAACCAGCTATTTCTGTGACCCAGGCTATTCGGATATTAGGTTCTCTCATGTCTTTCCCTTGATCCTCTAGGGCAGTGGTTTTCAACCTTCCTAATGCTGTGACCCTTTAATACAGTTCCTCGTGTTTTGGTGACCCCAACCATGAAATTGTTTACAACTTCATAACTAATTTTGCTGCTATTATGAATTGCAGTGTAAGAGTCTGATATGCAGGACATGCACTATGTGATCCAAAAGCAGTAGTGGCCCATGGGTTGGGAACCACGGCTTCACCATGATGGCTCAGTGAACGGGTGACTTGTCCTAATGAACATTTGACAGCAACTGTAAGCACTCTTACTTGTCCTAGCTAAGAAGGTAGAACTGGAATCCAGGGGACAGAAGCATACAGCACACAGTACAGCGCCCACAACAAACAACCATCAGCTAAACTGTCAACAGTGCTGACGGTAGGAAAGTTACTTCAGGTAAGACAGAACCACTGTAAAAATAAAGGTGCTCGCAAGCTGGAGAGACAGCTCAGTGGTTAAAAGTATTTGGCTCTTGCAGAGAACCTGGGTTCTGTCCCAGCACCTAAATGGTAACTCACAACCAACTGTAACTCCAATTCCAGGGAATCTGACAGCCTCTTCTGGCCTCCACAGGCATAAGGCACACACAAAGTGCATGTAAACACACATACACAACATTAATGCACATAAAATAAAAAGAACTCTTCCAAAAAATTTTAAAGGAAATAAAGAAGCAGAAAATACAGTAAGGATGACTTGCTGGGCTCAATCTTTGTACAGTTTCTTACCTGTGAATAATACAGCTACAGACCTATGTTTAGGATCTGACTTCTCTGTGTCAGACCACACAGACAATGCTGCACAGCAGCATGAAGCACGGGCTCTGGGGCCCAACTGCCTAGGGTCAAACTCCAGCTCTCCGTGTCACTTCTCTGTGCAGCATTTTGTTACATATAAATAAGATCTGCCGCATAAGGCTACTTTGAAGGTTAAATGTATCAAAACATATGCTATGGTTTCAAGAGCCAACTGCATAGACAGCACTTAATAGTACATAATGGCAATGAAAATAAATAACATTTACTGGACACTATGAACCAGACTAGTACGTGTTTCTGTAGGTATCACAGGATTCAGGTTAAAGATGTGACAGCAATAGAAAGATCACTTTAATTACCTGCAGAAGACCCTACAATGAGATAGTCATAGTGAGCGAGTCCCTGTAATTCAGTCTATTTTCACTCAGAATGACTCACTGAAAATACCACTGTTAGATGAGACACTCTTCCAATACAGAAGACGAAGGTGTCATCAGTTGTGAAGTCACAGAGACCTTCAGACACATACCTGGGAAAGGTGCGTAGGTATCCAGCTGCTTAACGCCTTCTTCCAGTAAACTGAGAGCAAGTTCCAACATCGGTGACTCATTGAGAAGATGGTACATCAGACTAAAGCCAGGTGGCTTATAAGCTATGATTTCTTCTCCTAAATAAGACAGTCCGTAAGATGGTGAGTCAGCAGTGACATAAAACGTACATACGTGTCTGTGTGTGTGTGTGTGCGCGTGTGTCTGTGTGTGTGTGTGTGTGTCTGTATGTGTGTGCGTGTGCGTCTGTCCACGGGCGCGCACATGTTCAGAGTTCAGCCTGCAAGAGTCAGTTTTCTCCCATTGTAAATCCCAAGGTCTGAATGGAGGTCGTGCAGGCCAGGTGCCATTACCTATAAAAATCAGTTAGTGGCCATCTCACTGGCCCCTCAATTGCAATTTTTGTTCGCCCCTGTGCTTTTGTGAAATGTATGGCACTGGAACTTAAATCGGATCAACACAGGTGAAGGTGAGCCTCAAGCCATGACAGTGACACAAACCGTTAACAGCAGCAATCCCACAGAGGAATGACTGATATGCAGGTGGGAACCAGTGCCATCATCAATAAGTGAACTCATGGAAGGAGCTACAAGCTAAGTATTTCATCTTTCACACAGTAAAATTCTACGTTCTCTCTTGAACAGAACATGATTAAAACAGTAAGGCAAAGATTAAGTTCTAATTTAAATCATAGATTTTAACTTACATTTATATACATAATCATTACCTTGTAGCTCCACAAACTGATCTACAAAATCTTCAAGCTGAGGCTCATAATCTCTCAGTAACTTATAAAACACTTCCAAGACAACCTCGGCAACTTCCCACTACAGGAAAGAACAAGTATTTCAGCAATGATGAACAGTCCAAGGTGGGAATTGCACAACTTCCCACTCCCTCCACTTTGCTCTCCAGAAAAGTCCCTTGTCTACTTTACTAATCTATGCAAACATTCTTAATTCATGTTGTCATTTGTCAAAGGATAACAGGTTGGCCTTTTCCCCAAACAGAACATTTTCTAATATTAAGTGTCTTTAGCTGAAGTTTGAGCTCTTTTACAAGCTTAAGGTATTTAGCACCTGGCCATGTTCACTTTCTAAGTACACGAGACCAGGTTTCTCTAAACTGACAGAATCCCTCAGACCACATGGCTCAGCTGCAAACATGCTCAGAGCAGGGTTCATTCACTACCCAACAACCAGTCAAAATGCCCCAAATGAGCCCAGGACCGTCTCACTTTAAAGATGGACTTAAAATACTTTACATGGAAGGACACGTGTGTACAGCTATGTCCAGCAGAATTTAAGCTTTGCTTTGAAACCCACTGAACAGAGTGTTGTATTTCAACATTTACTTCTGAGGCGCTGGAGACTGAACACAGGCTGACACGCAAGGCCACTGCTCTAGCACAACACACCTGCAGCCCCCTGCACAGATGTCTGGTAATACTGCCTATTTTAATGATAATTTTAAAGTCATTAAACTATATAAGTTTATCAGGGCTGAGTTTTAGGATGGGACTACACTGTGGCCTTTTTGAATTTTCAAAAATAGGCATTCTCACACCACAGATTTTGAAGATTGTTAAATCTACTACCTCTAACACTGTAGTATTCATCTCAACCCAAAGCATTGTTGTCATTAGAATTACTAAACTAAAGAAAGCTTCAAGTAAAAACCAGATTTTTCAGGGAAAGTAAGTGGCAGCAAAGAAAGCAGCACTGTCTGCGGGGTGGCTTAGCTTCACACGGGCAAAAGCGTCTGGAACAAGTGTGGCTGACTGGACCTGCAATCACTGCAGTCATAATGACCTCGTGTCAGAGCATTTTGCTGAAAAGACTGTAATGATCACGCATGTACGGCTGGCTCATCTGAAATGACCTTTAATGAAGCAGGGTTGCTATTAATATGTCATTAGATCAGGAAATTTATGTTAACAAGGAAGTTCTAGAGATGAAATAAAATGTATTCCCTTACATTTATCATCACTAAAAAATAAATTATAAAGCTAAGAGAACTTCTGTTTCTATGATTAAATATTAGAAATGTATGACCCCTGTTGATGAAAATGCAATGCATCAGACTATGCCAGGTATAGACATAAGGAATGGATACTATGCAGCCATCTAAAAGCCATTTTTTAAGTGAATCTTCATAATTACTTAAAATCTCCATGATACTAAATGACGAAGATACAAAGTAATGTAAGATATTCTTTCTAGTGTTATTTAAATGTGTGTACAACAAAAACAAAAAGGACAGGAAATTATTATTTTTCTTTTGATAACAGAGCTTGGGGTGATAAAATTTCTTATGTTCTGAATTGTCCAATATTAACATGAACCAAGTTCTTTCTATTATCATTACTGTAGCAAAACACCCAACAGGCTGTGAAAACAAACTAATAAAACAGAAACAGTCCTATAAATTACATCCAAGGACATTCTGTGAGATAATAAACAGTATTATATACTAAAGGTGAACTACATAAGAACCTGGAAGGGTCTCTTACATAGCTTAGTGGTTATGAGCTTGGATCTGAAGACAGAGTCCTATGTTCAAATCCTGGTCCTGGACCTTAGGCAAGTTCCTTAACTTTGCTAAGCCTCCATCTGAAAAATTGGAACATTAATAGTACCTGCCTTGAGATAATACTGGAATTACATAAAATGATATATACGATGAATTCAGTGGTATCTAAGAGTAGAGCCAAGTTGTATGTAAGCATCATTGCCCTCAGCATTCACCCAGGGTAGCTAAGTCCACAAACTGATTAAACAGCTTCCTTCGGGTGAATAATCTACAACCCTGAACTGCTAAGAGAACTAGCAAGCTGGAATAGCAATTCAGCTGGAATTGATACAGTTCCTATCTAAAGCACCCATGTGTTTCCAGCAAGGGTGCAAAGGTTTTAGTTCAATTTTAGTTAAAATCTACTCAATGACACGTGATGAAATTTTATCTCAAAAAAGTGTTCAGTTTATGACTGTGAATTCCTGTCAGGAAACTGTCACTGAGCATTAAAATGTGTCCATTTTACTGCCCAAAGTTATCTGTAAGACACATGAATTAATTCAAGTAGGGATTACAGAATTAAGACTATAAATTTCCTGATCATTAAAATGTGCCCAATTTACTGCCCAAAGTTATTTGTAAGACACATGAATTAATCCAAGTAGGGAATTACAGAATTAGGACTATAAATTTTACTAACTTCCAAAGCCAAACTGAATTTACAGCCCCTTACACCATGGGTGCACAAAGTGACAATAAGTTAAAAGGAGAGAAATGGTTACTCTGAACATAACCTTTTCAGCTGCTCTCCGGTAAGCTCTTGTACGGAATCGGAGAAACACAGAATCTCTGAGGAACTGCAAATAAGGGTCAAAGCCAGGGGGGCGCAGGCCAGCGCCCAGATTGGAAGGGAATGAGCTTTCCACCAGGGTACTAATCAACTGGCAAAAGGCCCGCGTCAAGGGGTATTCTTCACAACGGGACTCTATTTCATTGAGTTCAACCTTCAAAGAAAAATACAGAAAATTAGCAATACAAAGTCAGTAACTATGAAATACAAAGCATTTTGCTGATACTAACTCATGAACAATGATATATCACCACACAAAAAAGTAACAAATAACACTTCCTACTTAGCAGGAAAGACAACAAAGGATATCATTCTTACGAGTCAGGAGAATTTCAAATTCTCATATACTGTCTCAACCTTGAATAAAACAGATTTTTACACACTTCTTTTAAAAACAAGGGAACAGCACATCAACTGATTACACATACAGGTGACATTATAAAGACTGAGCACATTATATTTAGGAATATATGTCTATATACATATATGCGTTTAATATCACTTAATAAAAAATAGCCATGATTTTGAAAAAGAGCAAAGGGGCGTATATGGGAGGGCTTGAAGGGAGGAAAGGAACCAGAGAAACAATACAATGTTAATCTCAAAAGTAAAAGAAGAAGAAGGGGATAGTGTGATAGATGGCTCAGTCGGTAAGGGTGCTTGCTACCAAAAGTCTGAGGATGTGAATTTCATCCCCAGAATCTACATTGCAAGAGAGAACTAACAACTAAAAAAATTTCCTATGAGGACTGGAGAGATGGCTCAGAGGTTAAGAGCACCAACTGCTCTTCCAGGGGTCCTCAGTTCAATTCCCAGCAACCACATGGTGGCTCAAAACCATTTGTAATGATATCTGGCACCCTCTTCTGGCCTGCAGGCATACATGCAGGCAGAACACCATATACATAATGAACCTTAAAGAAAACCTTCCAAAAGCAAATATATTAAATATAAAAATTACAGAAACTTAATAGTGTAAAAATAACTTCAGACAATCTTATTTTGGCACTACTGTATGAATGAATGTAATGTTGAAACTAAAAAAGGAAACCTTACCTCAATACCAATAGCTTGCCTCTGGCTTGGAACCCTGACGGTCTGCAGTATCTGGAAGGAAGAAGAAACTATGTCAAGAGCATCCTTGTCCACCAAGGAGCAGTAATGGCCCCACAGCTACACATCTCACCCACCACTCCCTGATCAGCTCTCAGCAGCAGTTCTGGCAGACAGAACTGTAACATACAGAAAACTGCTAAGTTCTAAGAGCACACAATTTACTTTTCTCAGCAAATTCCTCTTGGACACTCTGGAATTCGCTCTTAAGAGAATCTTACAGTAGCATTTGACTCACTCTGCTCACAGCCAGCCATACGTAACTAATAGTGTGAGAACAGTAAGTCTAAGGAAAGCTCTTCCTGACTGTGCCACAGCCCTTCAGTGCTCCACAGCAGAATAAACCACGCTTACTCAAGATCCTTACTCTGCTGAAAGTTAAGGGGCCACTCCTACTATACAGACTAAAACCAACAACCAACAGTAGTGCTGCTCTAGAGACAAAACACCCCGTCACACACAGCAGTGAGCACACAGAACACTGCTAAGTAAGTACTGGATGGCTAGGAACCAGGAGAGGGCATCAATCTCAGTCCACCAGCACACAGCAACTCTATTAGTAACTGTTATTCTCATCTTCAGGACACACATTTGGAAAAAATCCAGAAGCTACTGGAAAGTGGTTGTCTGTGTGAATAACAAGAATCACAGGCTCCCTTATACTGTATTACCTCTGAGACAGATGCATATTCTACCTAAGCATCTCCCTGGAGGTGTTTTTATAAAAGAGGTTCTCAACCTATGGGTCATGAGCTCTTTAAGGGTCAAATGACCTTTTCACAGGGGTCACATATCAGATACCCTGCATATCAGATATTGACATTATTAGCAACGAAAATAATTTTATTGTTAGGGATCACCACAACATAAGGAACTATATAAAAGGATCATATTATTGGGGAGGTTGAGAACCACTGCTATAAAACATTTTTTCTACTTAAGAGAATCATAGAGAAAACAATACTTAATGGAAAAATTCCAACAGAACTGGCTTCTGAAAAAAGAAAAATCATTCCCTGAGATGTCAAAAGAGTTCCTGCTACCACACTTCCACTCATGCCCAATCTGAGCCTTTAAGTCCACCAGTGAAAAGTCATCCAGCTGCTCTGAAAATTCTGTAAAGCTCAGCAAACAGCTGGGTGGCCCTTTTATAGAAGGCTACCTAAAAACTTAACTCTCCTAGTTTGAGACAGGAAGAACATAGGGGAAAGGGAACAGTAGAGAAACACGAATATCTTCTTCCTGCATTTAATGACTAGAGCTATGGACTGAGGTCTTACATTAATTAGTCTGGTCTCAAAGACAACTGTGGCAATTTAGCACACTAGTAGATCTCGGGAAACAAGATCTTCAGAGTTACCTGAAGAACCTATCTTTGGTAACCTAGTAAGGTTGTGAGCCAGGAGAAAATAACCCAGACTATCAGTTTCTAATGCTATGCTTGGCTACCAAATGCTAACTTCCTACATGGGAATTCCCTGGAATACCCTGTTTCAACCAGATATTCTTGCTTCTACAGAATAATCATTCTCCAAGCTATACATGCATACCTGAGTATATTCCAATGACTGCCAAAGTGAAGCAGCAATTTCAGGAGACTTTCCAAAAGCTGCAAGTGTCTTCAGGAGCTCGGCTTTGAGAACCGGGGGAATACTGCACTGCAGGAGTCCCAGAATCACCACCACAGGCGTCCACTGAGGATGTTCACAAAGGGCCAAGCGAGCATTTTCACTCTGAGATTTGAAGACGAAATTTATTGTATTTATTTACCTAGGACTTTTGTTTTATGAGAGTGGCTTTCGCTATGTTATGTATACTGGTCTCCAACTCCATTAACTCAAGTCATTCTCCTGACTTGACCTTCTCAACATGTAAATACAGGCACCCACTACCAAGTGCGGCTTTCTGGTTTTCACAGCTAAGAAAAATGATCAGTAACACATTGTATCAGCTATATACATTGAATACACACTAAAACAAAGAAAGAATTCATCATTTAGCTTGAGGCTTATTGATAGATTAAATCAAATTACTAGTTTGGCTATGGAAGGAATGGAAGATAAATTTCAAAGAACTTCTTTGGCAGACCCAGGAACAGAAAATACTACTACAAACAGATAAGTAGTCTAATCTATAGGGCGACAAACTTCAGGCACTTTTAAGTCCTTTCTACAACAACATAGTATTACTACACTAAAATATATCTAATTCATGAATGAGTCAACAAATGCCTTTTTTCTTTTTTTCTTTCTTTCTTTCTTTTTTTTTTTTTTTTTTTTTTTGTTTTTACGAGACAGGGTTTCTCTGTATTGTTTTGGAGGCTATCGGTCCAGCCCAGCCTCGAACTCACAGAGATCAGCCTGCCTCTGCTTCCCGAGTGCTGGGATTAAAGGCGTGCGCCACCACAGCCCGGCTACCTTTTCTTTTTTGAGAAAAAAAATGAAAAATATTTTATCAAGGATAACTTCATTTTATTTCAATAAGGCATTATAATAATTTGATATTTTAATGCATAATACTAAACATGATTAGAAAAATCAAAAATCTAAAAAATACAATTCTATACTCCAGACAAAATGTCAATCTGAGCAGTGATCAACTAGGATTTCTAAGTGGTGAAAAAAAATGAAGTACGTACACACACACACACACACACACACACACACACACACACACACACACACACACACACACACTGGGGGGGGCAGGAGGAAGGCACAAGGGGACTTGGTATCACAGTGTTTTCCATGATACGGCAAAACAGACATAGGCTTCATTTCAACTTAAGAAAACTGAAGAAAGTCGTCACATGTGACCCACAAGTTCAAGTGGGTGTAACCAGCCTGAGTCCAGAGGAGAAGGAGGAGGAATGTCTCACTGCTCAGAAGCAAAGGCTGGAGAGACTGCCTGGCTGGAACCCGGCTCTGTCATCTACCAGGACACGCACTCTGCAAGGCCACCTGCCTGGCCCCTGTGTCAAGAGGGTCGGGAGAGGAAAGATGTGCAAACAGGACCAGAGGGACTCTAGCTCAAGGGCTGACTTCTGGGCAACCAGCCTGGGGTCCTCAAAATCCAGTCCCACCTCACTTAGTAATCAGAATGATGTGGTAAGAACTGTAACTTGCTGGAGGGGCGGGTGGCCGGAGGTGGGGTGAGGGTGGCACAGCCTTTAATCCCAGCACTTGGGAGACAAAGGCAGGCGGCCTGGTCTACAGAGCAAGTTCCAGGACAACCAGGTTAACAGAGAGACCCTGACTGGAAAAAACAAAACAAAAAAACCCTGTAACTTCCTTTTTAATGAAAACTATTCTTGTTGCACACATATATATCAATGCATGTGTCTACCTCAGAACCTCTACTAGAATTACCTTCTAGAACGATGGTTCTCAACCTTCCTAATGCTTCCTAATCTTCTCATGTTGTGGTGACCCCCAACTATAAAATTATTTTCATCACTGCTTCACAACCATAATTTTGCTGTTACATGTAAATATATCTGTGTTTTCCGATAGTCTTGGGTGCCCCCTATGAGTTCTCCACCCACATTTTGAGAACCACTGTTCTAGAAGGATGCATACACAACCTACTCTTACTTTCCTCTCTTGATTACTTTCTTAGATATTCTGGATAAATTTTCAAATTAAGATTGTGCTACTGAACAGAATTAGCAAAAAAACATATCCTCTAGAGGCTAGGAAACAAGAGCATAAGGATGAATGCTAAGTAAACACTAATCACTAAAGGGAAATGCTTGGTCACTTAAGATCTCACCACACTACCACACAAATGCTATGGGTGGGGTTACCTACCCAGGTTATGATGGTAGATGTCAGCTGCAGAAAAGCAATCAGTCCATCTTGCTCCTTCTGGGTGATGCCACGTGAAGGAAGGTGACGGTACTGGACACTATCTGCACTTGGCAGGTCCTTTCGGAGATGTTCATGGTAAAGCAATAAGGAATGAAAGAAATGCTCCCAGGATACAGGACTGCCACCTGCTCCCTGAATGTTTTCAACTGAAAAGAAAAGCAACAGCGTTTTCTTTCAAACACTGCCTACTCGTGGCTCAAAGGTAGAATACTGCCTACCACACTAAGAGGCGCTAGGACCAAGCACTGGCCCCACAACAACAAACGGTCTTGCTGTTTGCTTGGAGTCTAAGAATAATTTATAATGGCGTTAGTTCGCCTTTGTCTTAGCAGACAGTCAACGAGCAGTGTTCTTGCTCGGGTAAGAAGTATGCTGAACATGGTAAGGAGGGGGATGCCCACATAAAGTGACTTTGCGGCTGTTTACCTGCCTCCTACCCAGAAGTTCTGTGCTGCCACGTGACAAAATGGCTACTTCTCCCCACCAAGTAATTCACAAGAGTAGAGCCACAAATTATAATATCCCAGTATATAACAAACATTGTGGGGCAGAGCATCACAAATAAGACAAACAGGCACTGACAGAGTAGCCCATACGCTGGCTTGGGAGCCAGGCAGATCTGTTTTAATTGTGGCTTCTTCCCCCAACCTGTGACCATGGCTATACTAAAACTTAACTTGTCCAAACCTCATTTTCTTCACATCCAAAAGTGAATATAAAAATACAGTCAACAAAGCAGACACTTAGTTTCTTTTCCCTTTTAGCAGTATATCGGGTTTAACCAGACCTGAGTCTGAAAATTAGTAATAAGAAAACAAGAATTATGAGGATAAATTACAGAAATCAAATTAGCTATGCATGATGGCTTATACCTGTAACTCCAGTACTGTGAATGCTGAGGCAGGAGGATGGTGACAGGTGTAGAGCCAGTCTGGGCTTTAGAGTGATTCTAAGACAGCTTAGGCTATGGAATGAGACCCCATCTCAAAACAAAGTACACCAAAACAAAACAAGACCTCCATTTCGAGGAAACAGACTTGGTCTTATGAACCAGATGTGTTCTTAGAAAACTATACATACTGCTTCAGACTTGTTACACTTAACTGTATTTAACAAGGTAAGTGGCAAATCCCCAATCTCTGAGACCATAATCAAAGCATTACCATGCATGAAAATCACAGTGTAATTCTGTCCCTCAATTATAAGTACAATTTATACCTGTGGTAAAATCTACACAACAGTACACAAACTCAGCAGCATAAAGACAAATTTGATGTGCAGACTGCCCTTACCGTGACTACTACCATTGACTTTGAGCAGGCTAAAACAGTAGTGCGCACACTGAGGCCCATTGGCCAAGCCCTGGAGCATTTTTAAATAAGGAATATAAATAGTTGGCGGCAACAGGTCACCCATTTGTCTAACAAATTTTGACAAGACAACCTGAAATTAAGAAAAACAAAAGTTTAGAAAAAAATGTATTAGGTAATTTGGACTAACTAATAAAAACCACATAAAAACTAAATCAAACTCAGTACTATCATTTAATTCTTTGCCATTAAAAAAACTCAAAAGTAGCTGCTATTTTGTTTATGAAAAACTGTTAAAGTTGTTATTATAAATATAAGACAATTAGAGAACATCATAAACATTCAACACATTTTCTTCCAATGTCCAATCTCCACCTCAGTGTCACAACATTTAATGCTAATAATTTTAAAGATTTTTAAAAATTTTTGTACACATGCATGTCTGTGTCTGTATATATGTGCAGGTCCCCAGAGGCCAGAAGAGGCATCAGATCTCTGGATCTGAAGCTGGGAGCCATCTGACATAGGTGCAGGGAACTGAACTCTGGTTCCAGAAGAGCAGCAAGTATTCTTATCTGCTGAGCTATCACTCCAGCCCCCAACTACTCATATTTTTTAACTAGGTGAAACTAAAAACTAAGTACATTTTCAGATACCTGGAAATTATTGTGAAGTGTTAGATATAAAACAGTTTTATAATACTGTAGGAAAAAGTATCCTTATTTCTAAGAAAAATATTTAACCACTGAGGGGTAAACATCTTGCTGCAAACTGTTTACTTTAAAACATTCCTCAAGATACACTTGTAGTTGTAGATGTAGCAAATATGGCAATATATCAACTTGAAATGTGACATTCGGACACTGGAAATCCATTATAATTATTCTATTTTTCATATTAGCCTTTGGAAAGCTTTAATATATCCCTCTAGAGAACACATTTTTCTACATGGGGAAAAATCCAAAACAATAAGCCTAAGAAATGTAGTAAGAATAAAAGGAGGCGTGCATTCTAGACTCCAGGGAGGGGATAATGAATGCACAGCATGCAAACTTGTAAAAGTGAAATCCCAAATGATGAATTCTGACATGACAATATTTTCATTTATTTCTGTACATTACATTACAGAGAATACAAGACAGAAAATGGTACTTGTCTACATGTATGAAGACTCCCAGGGTGATGTCATCAATGATGACCTCTAAGTCTTCCATAATGCTTATACCTCATCTTCCCCAACCTGGTCAGAATTATGTGTACTGGTTATTGTCACTCCTATAGAGGACAACTACACCAAAAAATATCTCAAATATATAATGAGGCTTGGAACTTTTCTATCCCTAGCAATTTATCACATGTCTAGAATGAAATAAAGGACTGACTATATAAAACTCAAGATGATCTGAACTTAAATTATGGATTCAAATTTTCTTAAATATAAGTGATGCTTTCTAAATAACTTATTGCCTGTGTTCAAAACTCTTCAATGACCAAATCAGAGAATAAAGATAAAAAGCTGGGGAGAGTGGAAGGAGAAGAGGGAGCAGGAACTGGGATTGGAATGTAAAAAGTAAATTAATAAGAAAAAAATCTCAGCCGGCGTTGGTGGCGCACGCCTTTAATCCCAGCACTTGG